CATATAAAACAATCCATAACTCGGATGAAAATGTTTTCTATATGAAAGTTGCTCAGAAAAATCCAACGAATCCGAACATGTGGTCTGTTTACCTGTCAGATGCCTCTAGCATGCTGAACATGGAACATACCCCCTCCGGTCATATGTCTGATACAGGTCCGGAACCGGGAATACATTCCCGGTTGAATTCCCCCTTCACCTATATCGTGTAGCCATACGTTAGGTCACACCCGACACAGCATATTGCCTTGTTACGCTTTGTGATGCTATGTTTGCTTTATATTTACTGTTTCTTCCCCCTCTTCTCTCCGGTAGACCCCGAGACTGATGCTGCCCCTATGATCGACTACGTCAACGACGACCCCTCCTTGCCAGAGCAACCAGGCAAGCCCCCCCTTTGATCATCCCGATATCGCCCATTCCATTCTCTCATGCTTGCATTAGTTTTTGCTACTGTTATTGTTTGCTCCTATTCTGATGCATAGCCTGCTTATTGTTACCTTACCTGCTTATCCTAGACTGCTTAGTATAGGTTGGTTAGTGATCCATCAGTGACCCCCACCTTGTCCTTGTTTCCCCTGCTTCATCATTGAAGACCCGATCAACGGGATCGAAGACCAGGCCCCGGCACCGCACATCACTTTCCCCTTAGTTGCTCGACACTGCTAGGTTACTATCGAGTGCCGAGGGTGAGACCTCTACAACACTTCTGATTTTAACCCTGTAGTGTAGCTATTCAGTCGTGGTCATCGAGGGTGATTCCGCCTTAACCACTTCCGATACGACTCTGTCGTGCAACCCCTCAAGTGTGAACCTCGGGGGTGATTCCTCTTAAGTTCACCTTGATGATTACGTCGAGTAGAATTCACTGAGGGTGATTCCTAGGGTTTTCCCTTTGATGTTTAGACACACAGTTACTATGTTTACTATGACTTTACAGTGAACCATGTTACTAAAGACGGGTCGACCCTGAGGTGTACCCGCGCGAGCATAATTGCGAGTGATGTGGAGTCGGGTTGACCTGGAAGGTGCCCGAGAGATAATTACGAGGCATGGCCGGGCATTCTTAGCCCTTGCCGCAAGTCCTCGAGACGGAGCAACGGGGTCACATCTTTCGTGAGTCTCTGCTTGTTACCACGCGTTCCTAATCCACTACGATTTGGATATTTGATCCGAGGGGCCTCTGGCCTGATAGCACTAGCCATCACGTGGGCATAGTATGGGTGTTCTGCGTCGTATGCATCAGCCAAAGATTATTAGACGTCAGCGACTGAGCGGCGCGCGCCGGGTTGGACTGGTAAGCTCCTACCTTTTTTAAGGAGGTAGCTAGGTCTGCTCACCGGCCGCCCACGCAGCGTGCAGGAGTTCCCGGGGAGATGGCCCATGACCCCTGGGGGCATAGGTTTAGTCCGGCGTGCTGACCTCTCTATTAAGCCTAGGACAGGTTGCGGCGTATTGTTTGGCCGAGGCCGGGCATGACCCAGGAAAGTGTGTCCGGCCGGAGTTAATCGAGTGTGGTGGGTAAGTTGGTGCACCCCTGCAGGGAAGAAAACATCTATCGATAGCCTGTCCTACGGTAACGGACGCTCGGAGTTGTATCCCGATCGATACAACTAGAACTGGATACTTGTGATGAGAATTGCTGGTGATGAGAATTGAATTGTGATGATAATTGGATAGTATGGCTCTGGGATTGCTTTCTCGCAGGGAGTCGGATCTCTGGCCGAGGTTGATAACACTACTACTACTTTACCTTATGCTACTCTACTCCCTCCTGTTTGCTGCAAGATGGTGGTTTCCAGAAGATGCTAGTCTTCGATAGGACTAGGCCTTCTCTCTATTTTGGCATTTCTGCAGCCCAGTCCACATATACAACCTTTCTTTGATAATGTTGCATATGTAGTGTAGATCCTTGCTTGCGAGTACTTTGGATGAGTACTCACGGTTGCTTTGCTACCCCTTTTCCCCCTTCTTTCTTCTTTCTGGTTGTTGCAACCAGATGGTGGAGTCCAGGAGCCAGACGCCACCTTCGACGATGACTACTACTACCACGAGGGTGCCTACTACCACATGAAGACAGCGACGACCAGGAGTAGTTAGGAGGCTCCCAGGCAGGAGGCCTTGCCTTTTCGATCGATGTTGCTTTTGTGCTAGCCTTCTTAAGGCAAACTTGTCTAACTTATGTCTGTACTCAGATATTGTTGCTTCCGCTGACTCTTGTGTTTTCGAGCTTATGTATTCGAGCCCTCGAGGCCCCTGGCTTGTAATATAAAGCTTGTATTATTTTAATTTGTGTTTATAGTTGTGTTGTGATATCTTCCCGTGAGTCCTTGATCTTGATCGTACACATTTGCGTGTATGATTAGTGTACGATTGAATTGGGGGCGTCACATCTTGGAACTATACACATATGTTTTCGAAGAACCAAAAGAACTCCCGCCTCAGCGTGCTTGTGACCATCGGATCCCAGTCATGGAAGGGGCGCAACCTATTAACTTGCAACCATATCGGCACAAACCAGAGATCAAAAATGAGATTAAGCGCCAGGTGAAGGAGCTTCTTGCGACAACATCATCCGAAAGAGCACCAATCTGTTTTCTTATCCAACTCTTCTTGCGAAAAAGAAAGATGGTACACGGCGGCTGTGTGTGGATTACCGATGTCTAAATTAATGCAATGACAATCGTCAGCAAGTACCCTGTCCTGGTCATAGATGAACTGCTCGATGAATTGGTCGGAGCTTGTTGGTTCTCTAAGTTGGACCTTCACGCGGACTACCATCAAATACGGTTGGCGAAAGGAGAAGAGTACAAGACGACTTTCTCAACACATTGTAGTCACTGGGAGTACTTGGTTATGTCGTTTGGATTAGCTGCTGCTCCTCCAACTTTCATAGGTGTTGTAACCTCCACACTTCAACCAGTGCTGCGAGTCTGTGTCATCCTGTTCTTCGACGACATTCTGGTTTTCCGTAAAACCTTAGCACAACATGTGGATGACCTTCGGCAAGTGCTCCAGCTGCTTCGGAGCGACCACTAGCAAGTGAAGCAATCGAAATGTGCCCTCGGTCAACGCCAGATCACCTATCTCGGGCATGTCATTAATGAACATGGCAGCGAAGATAGCATGCTCATACTTGGATAATGTTTACAAACTCCATGGTCTGCCCAAGGCTATCATCTCCGATCGGGAACCTGTTTTCACAAGCAAGTTTTAGCGCAAGTTGGTCGCCATCATCGGCTCTGAACTCAACATGAGCACACAATATCATCTGCAGCCGGACGGCTAGTCGGAACGGGTCAATCAATGCATCGAGATATACCTCAGATGTTTCATCCACGCCTGCCCAAATCACTGGAGCCAATTCCTTTCACTTGTTGAGTTCTGGTACAACTCTAGTCACCACTAGATCTGCTTTAGACATGTCTCCTTCTCATGCTCTATACGACCACAAACCCAGAAATTGGGGGAATCGAAGCGGCATCAACCTGCAAAATTGCAGCACTGAAGGACTGCTTGGAAGAGAGGAAGACAATACATCAAGTATTGAAGCAACATCTGCACCGAGCTCGTCACATCATGAAACTACGGGCAAACAAGAAATGTACTGACAAGGAATTCACTGTGGGGGATGATGTTTTCGTCAAACTGCAACCATATGTGCAATCGCTAGTGCATCGCCGAGCCAACCACCAGCTGGCCTTCAAATATGCTGGCCCTTTCAAAGTGATGTGCAAGATCAATCATGTCGCATATGAGCTGGAGCTGCCGCCAGAATCGAAGGTCCACCCGATATTCCATGTATACCAACTACGACAAGTACTCTCCCCGGGTACAGACGCCTCTGCTACTTTGCCAATACCTCGCTTTGCGGATTTGGTTCCCGTTGAGCTACTAGACAGGTGCTGGCGACAGACCCCTACCGGTCACCGCGAGCAATACTTGGTTCGCTGGTCAGACTATGATCTGTGGGACGCTATGTGGGAGGATGCTCTCGCGCTCAAGGCTCGCTACCCCTGCTGTAGCAGCTTGGGGACAAGCATGCTCTCAAGGGGAAGGGGATGTCAGTGTCTCAAGTATAACCACACCCAAGGGCGACAGGACGTCTGCCGAGGCAGCTAACCGCGACACACTGGCGACAGATCAAGGGCATGCCACCAATCAGGGCAGAGGCCGCGTCATCGACAGGCCACCTCAGATCAAACACCCGAACCGCCAGTACGTGGGTCCGGAATGGCTGAACACTACTTAAGGCAACACGCGCAAGCAAGAGAGCATCCGGGCTTGGATCACGGCAAACGGCACGGCTGGCTACCTTTCCCTTTCTTCTTCTTTTCCAAGACAGGCTCCTGTGGAGCGAGTGTATCAGGTGTGGAACTCTGTAACACTGAAACTAGAGAGAAGAATAGATCGAGATCCTAAGAGCAAGTACAATAAGGTGACATAAGCAGGCTATAAGGACTAGAATATTATATTTTTGCTTAGTTGAAGGAGAGAGAAGAGAAGCAGGCTCTTGGTTACTAGCCGGCTCTAACACGAGACCCAAGACGCTTTGTGAGGTTGTAAGTTATGCCAACTACTAATGAAGTAGTACACATATAAAACTTATTATTGTACATGCCGGCTACAAGGTTGACTATAGATGACATGTCTACTCCTTACAACCGATTGCTGGCTATATTATTAATCATGCTCTAATGCAAACAGACGACAGTAACAATAAATTCGAAGGCTGCAGTGGCTTAGCAGTAATTACTACCTCCGTCCTTGTTTATTGGTCCTCATAGTATTTTGTGCCAAACTTTGACCTTAGATTTAACTAAAAAAAATTTAATGCATGTAACCAAAAATAATATCCCTCAAAACTATGTTCAAATACGAATCAGGGATATAATTTTTGCTAACATGCATTATTATTTATTTAGTTAAATCTATGGTCAAAGTTTAGCACAAAATACTAAGGGGATCAATAAACCATGACGGAGGTAGTAAACACGATGTCACTCTGAGTGCTTCTTGCCCTTGTCCTTGGACGGCGGGGGCACCAGATCGCCGCAATCATACCACAAGGTATCGGCGAGCTTGGGGAAGATGAACCTGTAAAAGATCAAGTCACGGAACAGCTTGACAAGGTACCCCCGCAGGCCCTCCTGCGCGTTGTTGATCCCGCCATGCTGGACCCAGCCCGACAGGTAGGCTCCGGCGACCAGCCAGGCGGCCCGGCCACGGCGCTCCGACACGTAGGCCGCCACCCCCTCCGCCGGCGTGGCCGCCCGCGACAGGGCGCGCGCGAGCACCACCGCGTCCTCCAGCGCCGAGCATCCGCCCTGCGCAAGGTCCGGCGTCATGGGGTGGAAGGCGTCGCCGGCCACCGTGACCGACCCGCGAGCGGCCGGGCCCGTCAAGATGCCCCAAGGCGACCGGTAGAGCAGCGGAGCCCACGAGACGCTCTTGTGGTCCGAGTGGCGCACCACGTCCAGGTACTCGGCCGGCATGTGCTTCCCCAGGTTCTCGGTGACCTCCCGCAGGATCTTGGCCGGGTCCGCGCCGGCTTCTTCCTCCGCTGCGGCGACGGTGTTGTTGACGAGGAACCAGTAGACTTCCGTGTCGCTGATGGGCACCATGCTGGCCCTGAGGCCCGCCGAGAGGAACTGCCGGAGCTCTTTCTTCATGCCGTGGCCGTCCGGGTAGACGGCGAGGCCGCGGACGGCGGACCGGCCGCATGTCACCGGCTCCGACAGGCCTAGCCACCGCGCCACCACCGAGTGCACCCCGTCGCACCCGATCACCACCTGATGGTGGATTGGACGACGTTTACAAGACAAGACGACTTAGGCTATGATCGAGTACTAGCAGATGCGCACGACTACAATTAATTAAGTGTGGCTTGGTGTATTACCTTGGCTCGGATCACTGTGCCGTCGTCTAACCGGAGAACGGAGGTCTCCGGCGAACCCTCCTCCTCGGCTGTCTCGCTGTTGATGGAGACGAGCTTGGACGAGAAGCGGATGGTGCCCGGCGGGAGCTCCTCCGCGAGCGCTTCCAGCAGCGCCTTTCGATCCGCCGGCCTCGCCTTGATTTCGCCGCTTCATTTTTGCATCGATTGGTTTAGCAGCCAAATTGATCAGATTCTCTATGTCTATGCTAGTATTAGTTCTGCTATCGACTCGATCAACAGGTGTCACCAACAGACCTGTTTTTGCGTGCAGCGAAGCGAAACACCTGAGTAGCTCCATTTTCAAGATTGGTCACCTGAAATCTGCATGTAGCAACAGAATCGATTCAAAGTAATTTTGTTTTCTCTTGTTGATATATATACTGTACTAAGAACAAGGAAAGGCAAAGCTGACGACGCACGTTTCGTAGGCGTCGTAGCGGGACATGAGCTTGTGCGCGACGCCCAGCGCGCGGAGCGCGAACCAGCCGCTGGGGAAGATGGTGAGCGCGGCGCCCGTGGCGCGCAGCTCGGCGTGCCGCTCCAGGACCAGAACGCCGCCGCCCACGCCGGCCCGCCGCAGAGCCAGCGCGGTCGCCAGCCCTGCGATCCCGGCGCCGACGATGACCACCTCCGCCCCCGCCTCCACCGCCGATGACATCGCCACCTCACCCTCACTAGCCGGCTACCTCGTGTGCGTTGCTCCCTCAATTATATGCTTAGGACGGGCACCAAAGGTCACGTTAGACATCGGTAAGGTCACGTTGCCGCCCTCGTGTACGATCTGACGAATTTTTTTATTTATCGTGCCGGGTGTTCGGCGATTGAACATGAATGCTGATACTGCTCGTCGGGTCCAAAAATTAAACACGGTGGCCGATCGAGTGGGTGAGTGTCCCTGGTACAACGCAGACGCTCACGCACGGAACGTATCCTCCCACTAAATACACATAATCGGAAAATCTGAAATAAATCCAAAAAATTCAAGCGCCGATGTCAAGTCTAAAACTTGAACCCTGATGGTCCGGAAAATACCATTATCCTACTAACCATCTAACTACTGACCATATGCCATCGGCCGTGCTTCGAATTATTGTTCGTTTGCCCTTCTTGCTGTATGGGTGTGCCTATTAAACACGTAATTTTTGGCAACCGCATTATGTAATCAATGGGATGCTTAACAGGTTAGTTGGTATATGCATTATGGGCATCGGAGACCTAGCTACTTTCAGAAGTTGGACCACACACGAGTTGTTTTCTTGTATCCATCATGCTTTAATTGCTTCCATAAATTTATCTTTATAGAACAGTGAAAGGAAACATTGTTTGATGAATTATTGTGTGACATCATCTAGAGAAAAGAGTTGTAGCAATCAAAATGAAAGAAGATGGCTTGAGGTGAAACCTCTACTCTTTCAATTTGTTTGGTAGATATATCTGTTGCTTTCTTGTGGGTCCTCAATGTATTCTAGAAATAATAAGAATAACTAGGTTATGAAAGATGAAATCAAGAATTAATAGTTGGATAATTCATAACATTTGCAGCTATACTTTTTTTTTGCGGAAACCTACACAAATTATTGTTGTGTTATTTACCTGGTCTTTACAATGTGGTTTCCAAACTTACACAAATTCATGCCAGATTTTACCTTAGTTTGGATATATAGGTTCTACAAAAAGAATCATCAGCAATAATCTGTAAGAGGAAGAAACTACAATACATTCCTCGATCCTAGAATTACACATGATGGTATGAAACATTTCCTTTAATTATGTCTACTCCCTCTCTCTCAGTTTATAAGGCGTGCACATACCACTAGGTCGTCAATTTGACCAACCTAATACAAGTAATATATAAATATACCAACATAAACTTCAGATGTCCTATTTTCAAAAGATATAATTTTTGTATTATATAGTTTATATTAGGGTGATCAAATTGGCAACCTAGGTATACGTGTAGGACTTGTAAACTGAGACGGAGGGAGTATGTTATTTTCATTTCAGCCAATTCTATCATTAGCACCAACTATCCTCCTTAGTGGGGTTGTGCCTCAATAGTCGTATATATTGAAGAGTGCCCTAACTCCTTTGCGCCTTACCTTTAAGATGGCAAATGTGGGTTGGGGAAACACCCAAGATAATTTTAAATAAGGGAGGTGGTCTTCACCATGATCAGTTGGTAAAATATTCGGGTGTGCTTTTACATTTATTGGAAAACATTTGTCATTTGCTCAAATTTGTATTATGACATATCTGTCTCCCTTCATGTAATGGTAGCTGTTCACTTACTACATCTTAGAATTGGTCTTAGTCTCACCACCAGAAGCGAGGTGCGCTTTGATGCCCGTTGGCTCAATGGCGTATTCATCTTTGGTATTTTCTTCACCAGCATCTGTTAGCGGATTGTGAGATCTCCTTATTTAAAGTTTAGGTATTTGGCTGGCCAGGACGGGAATTGAACTTATGAACAAGACCAAATGAGATTACGAAGTAAAAAATTATATTTTAAAGAACAATAGTTAATAACAATTGAAAATTAATAAATGGTCCATTCCTCATTTACTTTCCTTTAAGACCAACAATAGAATACACAAAGTGTATCAAATTAAAGAATATCACGGTTCACAAAGATCACCAAGCTCATCACATCGACATTTTTTCCCCTCAGAATCATGGTACTCCCATCTTTGGTTACTTGTACAATATAAACAATAAAACAAATAAATGAGAAGCAAGAGGGCACATGTTGTTAAAAAAAATCGGATGTCCCTGGTGTCTTCATCGGCATACTTTCAGCGGCAGACTTAAGAGCATTATCACGGGTAAATATTCTGATCTCAGAACAAAAGCTTGATGTGTGAAAGCATTCTATGATGCACAAAGATGCTTTATAACAAACCCAAAAAATATGATTTGATATGGATGAAAAAGAGGTATAAATTTGAACCCATTTTCCATCTGAAAGGTAATGAATTATGTCTCCTTAAGGTTATGATGGGCAAACTTAACTTCGGTCCTCTTTTATCATCCAGAGCAAGTTGCTTGAATGGTCTGTGTACTTGCAATTAACTTTGTAATAAAAAAATCTACAAAATAGCTATAGCTCTGGTCACACAAAAAATGTCTTTCCCTCAGACCTGAGGGTAAGGTTGAGCACAGTTAAGATGTGAGATTGTCTTGAGTTTACATACAAAACAAAAATGTATAGATCTGCCGTTAAGCTAAAACACCGTCCCTTAGTCATGATCTTTTGTTTGGGGTGTGATTATGCATATAAAGACGATCGGATGCAGCACCAAGATGCCATGTTCCTGGCCAGCAACAAGAAGCCAAGAACCCAAGTACAGAGAGAATTGGGTACAAGACTACTCATCTTTGGGCCAGCAACAGGAACCCAAGTACAGGACTACACATAAAACTACTAATACTAGGTCTTTAGTAACTTTCTGGACGGATCATTGCAAATGACATGCATGACTGAAACTTAATCTTCATGCCCTAGATTTTCTTTTCCCGAGTGAAGTAGGAGCGACCTGGCACATGAGGAGATCCTTCATTACACCGGGGCAGTTCTTGGTTAAATACTCAAAACCTTCAGACTCCATGGCCGCTTCCAGATTCGTGGGCGAGCTGAGGAACACCAAGCATGCCGCTTTAAGCTCAGGGCAGTGGTGTTGCTCCGCCAATGCCAAGATAGTCGCCACAGAGTTTGTATCGATATGATTGCACAACTTATCTTCACAAATCAGCTTCAGCCTCTCCAAATCATACCTGTCTGCCGCAACAAGCAGATGCTGAGCCATGGCAGATTCCTCCTGTTGATCCATAGTAGGCAATGCATCCGTGTAGATGAATGCAAGCAGAGCCTTGAACACCTCTACCTCAATGTCATCTATACATATGACATTTGTGGTGGCGCTCTCCTTCATCGGCCCAAATAACTCTGCCCTGAAGACCGGAGACCGTGCCGCAAGCACCAATCGGTGGGCCGAGAATGTCTCCCCGCCGACTTGGAATTCGACATCGACGCCCTCCTTGCTCGACAAGAGATCCCCGAAGTGCCGGTGCATGTCAGACGGTGGCACCGCGACGGATGGTGTCTTCCGTGCGTGGAACTCGGACATGATAGTGACGTCCACCTTGACAGTGAAGGAATCGCTCTTGAGATGCTCTGATTTCTCCAATTCTTGCCTTTTCATGAAGTCGAACCCCCAAGATTTAAGCACAGAAAAGTCTCTGGTCTCGGTAGTAGCGGTATGGAGCGGCACGGGCTTCCCATCTTGGTCGATTAAGCTGAACTTGGCATGTGCCTTCACGGCCTCGGCGACAGTGTCGTCCAAGCTGAGAAAGAGGGATATGTAATCGGTGTACTCGGACTTGTCCCCGTTGGGATAGTACTCCACATGCCATGTGCGGCCTCCCATCTGGAACGGGCAAGAGTTGATCCACTTGCCATTCGGGACCTCCTTGGTGCGCGAGTAGCCGTCGATCTTGAGCAGGTGGTAGCCGCACACGACGCCGGCGACGATGGAGGAAGCAGATCCGGAGGGGACGCCTCCGCCGGCAACACGCGAGGTGGTAGACATTGTGTACGGCGGATGCAGGTTGGGCCGGTCGCTGGTGGGGAGCAGCGGCGGTGGTTCGTGGAGGGAACAGCGGCGAGGGTTTGGGTGGTGTATCCGCGGAGCCGGGAAAAAAGCAAGGTCTGCTAGGGTGAAGTTCGCGAGAGCTACGTCTCGCTTTATACAGCGCGGCGGCTATTGAGCCGGCCCAATAGTGTAGCTGATCGCGAGTTTTTTTTCTTGTATTCTTGTCTTCCTTTTCTCTTTGAAAATCATCTAAATCTATTATCAAAGTTCAGTGGAAATACAAAGCATCTCAAATATAATAAAAATTACACTAAGATTCTAAGACCCCGAAACAACCACTACTGCCGTCAGAATGAGCCCGACGCGCAGATGTCGCCGCTCCCCTACCAGAGCTGGCTTGACCTTGTGATGACAACCGGGAAGTCTTCGTGCATGTGTCCCTAAGGGCCAACATCCTGGAGCCGCAGTCATCACCGTTGAACCCTTGCATAGATCTGAAGCACCTGACATCAAATCTTGTCACAAGACGAGAAACCCTAACCTCACCGTCTCAAAGAGATGAGGAATCTACGCCGGAGCTCCGTCGACTATGTCCAGACGGACCAACTCGAGGAGGATCAAAGCCCGGAAAGACAAACTCAGAGAGGTAGCAGTGCCATCCGCCCGAGCACAACACCTGCGATCGAGGACAAGAAAACCCTAACCTAAACTAATAACCAGAGTGTAGACACCGGGATTTCTCTCCCCGCCACCGGACGCCTGAGCGGTAGGCAGAGGGGACGCGAGTTCACGGCCTCACCGGCGAAGTTTTTCTTGTCTTTTTTTTCAGAATTTTCTGTACTCTTGTTTGTCAGTTTTTCTGCTATAGTATCGGTTTTCCTCATGTTTTATTTGGTATTACTTTTTCTTTTCTTTTTTTGAGTTTTCTTTCTTTATTTCTTCGGTTCACACTCACTTTCTTTTATTTTTTTATTTTTAACATATATCTTTTTTTAATACGCATTATACATTTTGCGTATACATCACGAATATTTGTATATACTTTTAAGATTTTAAGAATATATAAGTTATATTTAAAAATATATGTTTCGACGTCTACTTACATATTGTACATTTTTCGCATGCATCTAAGACTTTTTATCTATATTTAACATTTTCAAATACATGATTAATATTTATTTTTAATATATACTTTAATACACGTTGAAACACATTTTTGAATGATACAAAACATTATTTTTAAACTATGTTAACATTTTTATACATTGAATAAACATTTTGTTAATGTAACAATCTTTTTGTTTGAAACTCGTGAACATTTTTCTAAGTGTAATGCATTTTTTGAATGGTATGAAATATTTTTTGTTACATGAATATTTATTTTAAATTATTTAACATTTTATTAAATGTAATGTACATGTTTTTAATGCATGATTATGTTTCAGTGTCATATTCATTTTCTGAATGGTATAAATATTTTTAAAAGTTGAGCAAACATTTTTTACACTGCATTTACATTTTTTTAAAATGCCATGAACACTTTTAAAAACGAACTATTTTTTGATACGAGGTGACAGGGCCTGCTCTGTGGGGGGCAGGATGGGGCCCCAAGATCCAGGGTCCCGTCCCGGTGTGATGTACGCGTATATAGGTAAGAAAAAATTATAGTTCCCCCCCTCAAATCCACACTAATGGATACATAACCCACTGAACTCAAATACCATATAATTTACCCCCTCAAATTGTCAAAACCGGATAAATCAAGCCCCGTTGTGGTTTTGGGTCACATTGAAACCGGTTTTGAGCGCTGACCAAAGTCAACACAACTAAGTCAGAGGATTTAACAAAAAATGTCGAGCGGCGGCCGTGGCAAATCGCCGAGCGAGGTGTCGACGGCGACCGGAGCTGGAAGAGTACTTGCGGTTGTGGACGAGACTGGCGGATTTTGGGTTGACAGAGGGTGTGGAGGGACAAGGTTCAGTGGTCCTAGGAAGCTAATGGCATGTACTCAGTGAGATCGGCATACACGGCCAAATTTATGGGCCGGCGACTATCCTCGACAGCATCGTTTACTTGGAAGCCGAGGGCTCCGTTGAGATGTCGTTTCTTCTCCTGGCTTGCCCTCAGAAACCGTTGTTAGACCTCGGACTGGCTGGCACGTAGAGGGCTACCACACCAGGACATTTGCCCTTTCTGCAACCAACACGACGAGACCATGCAACACTTACTCATCGGATGCATCTTCGCAAGGCAGGTATGGCATTGGTGCACCACGTTGGCTGGAAGCACAGAATACCTCCCCCAGCCATGTGAGACTTTGGGCGGTTGGTGCAAGAGACAAGAGCAGAGCATGGAGCACCGGAAGTCCACACAGACATTGTGCTAATGGCAATGTGGATGTTGTGGAAGCATAGGAATAATATTGTGTTCGAGGGCGCCACACCATCTCTGCCAGGTGTGCTGCAAAAGCTACAAGCGAATGGAGCTATCTGGGCAAAGGCAGGGCTGCTTAATGGTGAGGTCCTAGGACAGGAGCCAGCTTGGGTGGAGTGGCTAGGGCATGAGTAGTTAGCCTCAAGAGAGTAGTCAGTAGGTCGGATAAAATCCGCATGTAAATAAATAGCAAGTTGTATTGGTGGGTTGGGACTCACCACCCCTCTTCTTCTTTAATGAATGATATGCACATTCGTGCGTATTCGAGAAAGAGGTGCCGGCGGCGACTGCGAGAGGACAACGTCACTGAAGAAAGCCTCGAGAAGGCTTGCGCTGGTGGCGACGTGCCTCGGGAGTCAAGGAGGCTAAAAGAGGCGTCGGGCTTTCGCCGGAGGTGGAGATCGAGCGATGGCGGCGGCCGGCAGAGAAGACAAAGACCATGCCGTTGATTTGTGGCGGCTTGGCGCGATTCCTTCTAGAGGGGCGAAGAGGGAGACGAGGCGGTTCTACAGGACATGTCAGCTGGGCTCGGGTTGGTCTCTTGCCACGAGGACGATAGAAGGCGATGTCGGTGACCTTCTTTGCAGCACGAGAGAGAGAGAGGGAGGGAGAGAGAGAGAGAGGATCGTCAGACAAGGCTGCTGGCGCAAGGGATAAGGCTTGAGGCGGTCCAGGCTGACAGCAATGTCCAACACGGCGGACGGTGGCGATTCCTTCGCACGTACACAGGAGCTAGCAGAAGCACCTGATCGGTTTTCATTGCAAGTTTGCTCGTGCACCTAGCAAATGAAGTCAGCTAGATACACACGCACAACTACATAGATGTCGGGTAGATCGATAGTTCCGGCAAGAACGAACCAGCTGCAACACCCGCACGACACAACCGGGCACGAAGCCGTGCTCATCGCCGAAGCCGTTGCGGCCGTGCTTGACACTGTCGCGCGTCTCGTCCAATTCGCTGACGGTCGTGCCGCTCCCGTGGCGCCATGCTCTCCCTCCGTGGTGCAGCGCTCGAAGCTATGGTACCGCTTGGCAAAAAAAAAAAGAATCATCGGGCTTATCTGTGTTGACTCTGGTCAGCACTCAAAACCGGCTTCAATGTGACCCAAAATTACTATGGGGCTTCATTTATCCGGTTTTGACAATTTGAGGAGGTAAACTATATGGTATTTGAGTTCAGTGGGTTATGTATCCATTAGTGTGGATTTGAGGGGGAAAACTATAATTTCTTTTATACATAAAGTAAGCTCATAGGCCACAGAGCAGCGATTCGGTGCCCAGACTCATCTGCGATGAAGAAAAAGTTCAAAACAAATACTAGAAAAGTTTTAAAAATTCATTTTTTACGTGGTAGATAATTTAGTACATGAGATGCGCTCCAAATTTTAGAAGTAGCTCATGTACGTGTCAGGACTAAGGGGAATGCTCACTGCTGACAGTTTTCTTCGCATTGCTGATGGGGTTCCAATATTAAGTGTTCTTTTTTCTAGATAGAGGGATGAACCGTTCGGCATTTGCCTTGTTTGACTCATATACGTGCCAGAAAAAGGATAAAACCATCTTCGACAAGGAAATACGTGCTATATGTTGCCTTGTAGCCAAGGTAAGTTACCTAATATTTTCGCAATTTTTTTACCTGAAATAAGTGCTCTTTATTAGCATGTGTTCGGGTGAAAACTACGATTTCAGTGTCGATGTCTGAACTGAAAGACATTATCAGACCACGCAACAACCAACAAGTAAAGGAGGCAACCATCACGTGTTCCTTTTGAACTTCTATTTCTTTTTCTCTGTTCATTTTCCTATTCTGTTCAGAGTAGCACTTTGTGAAGGAAGTGTTATTTATATATTCTTAATTTACCTAAAAATTTGTGAAGACATTTTTCTTAGTATATGAACATCTTCAGCCAAAACTCACGCCCATTGGTCATGTGCATTTTCCGTACCGCTAATCAAACACTTGGCTGCTAATTCATGTTTGAGCATAGGTCGGTCTCCTAATGAGAATTTTGTGTTATAATTTTCTTCCTAGCACCTACCTGGGGAGTGCCCAACCCACTAGACATTCCTAGTCCACCCAGAACGCATGGCAACACCACGGTCACGCAATGACCACGCGACACGCATGCGAGCTTCGCGCTCTACAATTGGGGCCCTCGGCTACCGTCCAAACCTCGATGCATCGCAACCAAACCATGTATTTATGATTAAATAGGTACTTATATACCTAGATATTATTTTCGGAAAAAATAAAAAGCAAACTATGAGGCAAATACAGTTCAAATTTGACCTGCTTCCTACTGAATTGGCAGTAATTTGTCTTTTTCATCGGAGGTGGATCAAAACTTTTGACACCCAACCATTTGTCAATTGTGCATTAAATATGGCCTAGTATTTTATAAAATTAATTTGGTCCAATTTTGCAACAAATATATGGTAGGCCATTCACAAAAAAAACTCATTTCGGGCAATCGAAAAATGGAAATGTTTTTTCCGTGCAAACAAAATGAAAACTCCCTTAGGAAACATTGTTTGGAATTCCAAGATGCACCCTTGTGCATAATGTAAGATCATTTGAACAAACTATGCCGTAAATGTGGCCATAAGATTGATCATTTGGCTTGAAAGACATGAATCTTCACACATGATAGCTCATTTTTTAGAACACTTTTTCAAAATAATTTCCGTATTGCAAGTTTATTATTTTTCATGGAAACTTGGTCACATATAATGACACAATGCGAAGGTTTTCCAATTTTTATGATTTTTTTAATTTTTTATGCGCGTTTCAAAATGTGGTCAAAACGGCGGGCTTGCCCGATCCTAGCTAGTGGTTGAATGTTGGGAAACTTTTGATGTTTCTCTGATTAAATAGATACTTATGTACTTAGAAATGATTTTTGTAAAAAATAAAGAGCAAACGACGAGGCAGCTACAGTTCAAATTTGACCCGCTTCCAACTTAATCGGTGGGAATTTGTCTTTTTCACGAGAGGTGGATCAAAACTTTTTAAACCCAACCATTTGGTCAATTGTGAATTAAATATGTCCTAGTTTTTTAGAAAATTGACTTGGTATAATTTTGCAACAAATATTTGGTAGGTCCTTCACAAAAAAACTCATTTTGGGCACTCGAAAAATGCAAAATGAATTTTTCATGGAAAAAAAATAAAAACTTCCTTATGCAACATTGTTTGTCATTCCAATATGCACCCTTGTGCATAATATGAGATCATTTGAGCAAACTATGTCATAGATGTGGCCGTAAGATTGATCATTTGGCTTGAAAGCCATGAACCCTCACATTTGATAGCTCGTTTCCGAGAACACTTTTTTAAACAATTGTCGTATTAAAAGTTTATTATTTTTCCTGAAAACTTTGTCACATATAATGACGCAATGCGAAGGTTTTCAAATTTTTTGATTTTTTTGAATTTTTTATGCCCGTTTCAAAATGCGGTCAAAACGGCGGGCTTGCCCGTTCCTAGCTAGTGGTTCAATCTCGGAATTTTTTTGATGTTTCTCTCATTAAATAGATACTTATGTACCTAGAAATGATTTTTTTGGAAAAATAAAGAGCAAACTACGAGGCAACTACAGTTCAAATTTGACCCGCTTCCAACTGAATCGGCGGGAATTTGTCTTTTTCACGAGAGGTGGATCAAAACTTTTTACACCCAACCATTTCATCAATTGTGTATTAAATATGTCCTAGTATTTTAGAAAATTGACTTGGTACAATTTTGCAGCAAATATTTGGTAGGTCTTCACAAAAAAACTCATTTTAGGCGCTCGAAAAATGGAAAATGAATTTTTCGTCCACAAAAAATGAAAACTTCCTTACGCAACATTGTTTTTCATTCCAATATGCACCCTTGTGCACAATATGAGATCATTTGAACAAACTATGTCATGAATGTGGCCATAAGATTGATCATTCGCTTGAAAGTCATGAATCTTCACACTTGACAGCTTGTTTCTGAGAACACTTTTTTAAAACAATTTTCGTATTACAAGTTTATTATTTTTCCTGGAAACTTGGTCACATATAATGACGCAATGCGAAGGTTTTCCAATTTTTTGATTTTTTTCAATTTTTTATGCCTGTTTCAAAATGCGGTCAAAACGGTGGGCTTGCCCGTTCCTAGCTAGTGGTTGAATCTTGGAATTTTCTTGATGTTTCTATGATTAAATAGATAGCTATGTACCTAGAAATGATTTTTGAAAAAAACAAAGAGCAAACTACGAGGCAGCTACAGTTTAAATTTGACCCGCTTCCAACTGAATCAGCGAGAATTTGTCTTTTTCATGAGAGGTGGATCAAAACTTTTTACACCCAACCATTTGGTCAATTCTGCATTAAATATGTCCTAGTATTTTATAAAGTTGATTAGGTCCAATTTTGCAACAATTATATGGTAGGTCCTTTACAAAAAAAGTCATTTCGGGCACTCAAAAAATGGAAAATGAATTTTTTTTGTCCAAAAAAATTGAAAACTTCCTTAGGCAACACTATTTGTCATTCCAATATGCACCCTTGTGCACAATATGAGATCATTTGAACAAATTATGTCATGAATGTGGCCATAAGATTGATCATTTGGCTTGAAAGCCATGAATCTTCACACTTGATAGCTCGTTTCTGAGAACACTTTTTTAAAACAATTTCCGTATTACAATTTTATTATTTTTTCTGGAAACTTGGTCACATATAATGACGCAATGCGAAGGGTTTCCAATTTTTTGATTTTATTTGAATTTTGTATGCCCGTTTCAAAATGCGTTTAAAACGGCGGGCTTGCCCGTTCCTAGCTAGTGGTTGAATCTTAAAATATTTTTGATGTTTCTCTAATTACATAGATACTTATGTACCTAGAAATGATTTTTGGAAAAAAGAAAGAGCAAACTATGAGGTAGCTACAGTTCAAATTTGACCCGCTTCCAACTGAATCGGCGGGAATTTGTCTTTTTCACGAGAGGTGGATCAAAACTTTTTACACCCAACCATGTGGTCAATTATGCATTAAATATGTCCTAGTATTTTATAAAATTGATTAGGTCCAATTTTGCAACAATTATATGGTAGGTCCTTCACAAAAAAACTCATTTCGGGCACTCGGAAAATGGAAAATTGATTATGACCATTTTAGATGGTCATAACGTCATCAAAGCGTGCATTTCGTTCTGATTGGTCTATGAGCATGTCACGCGGATCAAGCATTAGTGACCGTCGGATACTACCAGATCCAACGGCCCACACCCCTCATCCTCTCCCCACCCACACCCACCCGAAAGCAGCTCCCCTCACCTACACCACATGTCGTTGAGGACACTGACATGTGGGCCTAATTCCTCCCGGGCCCACCTGTCAGTGGCCGAATGCCACCACTCACCCACCGCACACCACTCCTTCCCCTCTCCCCCTCTCCCCCGCACACCACTCCTCCCCCACGATCCGCAGCCCAAACCATAACCCCTCTCCCTCCCTCCATTGGA